TTTATTTAATAAATAAATTAAATTAAATATAAAGTAGATCAGATTATAATATTTATAAGAGTTGACTTATTTTTATCGAGTGCAGGAGAATGATAGAGAGAGTGATGAATCAATGATAGAAAGAAGTCAAGGTTGATGCTAACTTTGATAGTTCCACCTCTCCCCCCCACCCCCCCAAAATTAATAATTACAGCTTAGCTTGAGTTACATTTTGTCCCCAAACCAAAATTAAAGCATTGTAAGACACAAGACAAAATTTTTTGTTATGATTCGATCAAGGAATACAAATTAATCATATAAAACCGATCAACATAGCACATCTCGGAGTATAAAATGTTTTATTTTGAATTCTAAAATGTTTTAACTTGTATTTTAGAGTATAAATCTATAATAAATAATGACAAATTTAACTTGAAAATAAATTTTAAAATAAAAAGAAAAAATTTTTGAATCTAAGCTTAAGCCTGATTAACAAAGACCGGATTTGAACAAGTGATTGATTTTAAAATAACAGAACTTTTAGACTCAAACTCACATGAACTGAGCCCACCAATTTACCAGCTCTTGGGCAAATTCCAACAGAGTTTGATTTTGTTTGCAGACATCAGATAACTTTTCAGATGAGGAATTTAATTTTTTTTTAAAGATGGCTATTTCTAAATTTTTGACCAAACCTTAGTTTGCATGGTTAGTATTATGCTCGGATTTGATTGAGAACTTCCCATCACTTGAAGGTCTCCATTAGACAATATCTTCTTCATTTGAGTTGGGTGGGTGAACGAAGGAAATCTGATGTATCACATCCATGGGGAGGCGACGGGACATTTTACTAAGACTTCGTTGCCCTTCCCTATTTTCCAGCCAACATTTTCAAGGAATTTGTCCCAAACCTTGCAGATACTGTTAATAACTTTTTCGCAAGTTACCCATCGTACTTTAGTTTAATTTGCTGCATATAAGGAGCGAAAAGTTTGAATTGTTAGTGGCGCCATCATTTGGGTTGACGAAATCATATACAGAATCAATTTCTTCTTCATTATTAAATGCAAGGCATATGTTGGAGGCCAGGTAGCTACCACTCATTCTAATTAAAATATGGAATTAGTTTCTTGCAACAAAATCATGCGCAAAAACATAAATATATAAATATGATGTTAATCAATATGGGCAAAGTTGGTCAGAATAACGCCAAATTTATCGTAGTGAAGAATAGTGATTTGGTTAGGTGAAGAGATTCCCCACTTCTTGATTGGTCAAAAGAAGGTTATAAAATCCCCAGCTCATGTTGATTATCAGTTCACCTACTATATATTTTAATCTGAAGATTTTATAAACTATCAACATAATAAAACAAAGAACGGTATAAGAATATTCGGCTTAAGAAAGACTGATTTTTTACTTCCATAAATGCCACGTCAATGTAGGCGGTTATTTCCCTAATCATTATTCATTAATTAAATTTGAAAGAAGTCAAAAGAGAAAAGAAAAGGAGATTAGAAAAAAGTGTCGGAATATATTGATATGTAAAGCTTACAATTAATATACTACACAAAAATAGACTATATATGATATATCCTGATAATAATTAATAAATACAAAATATTTCTTAAATGTTAAACAAAATAAATCTCAACAAATAATATCATAATAATATCTGCAAATAACAACTAAACAAATACGATTTAATAATATATCATAACACTCTCCTTCAAACACAAGATGGCTTGATAGAAAATAACTTAAGTTTGTCTATTAAAAACTGAAAGCAACCTAGATGAAAAGATTAATTGGATAGTGCCTTGAACAACATATTGCTAAGTAAAGTGAAATCAATTTCAATATATTTGGTTTGCTCATGAACTACATTTGTTTGGGTTAAAATATGGTTTTTGCTCCAAGTCCAACTATTTAGACTAAAAATGATAATTTTGGCCTAAGCCCTAGAAGAAAGGCGGTTGCTTGCTATAAAAATAAAGCACTACTTTAGAAATGGCAAAGAGTGGAGGAAGTTATGAGAAAACTGTAACTAATAGCCTTAAAAAAATGGAGCATGAAGCCATAGAAAAACTATTGCCCTGCGCTAATAAAAGGAAAGCCACCATATACATATGCATCTCTCTTCAACTCTTCAACTTTATAAATTACACACAATCTCTATAGACATTTTTTCAACAAACTCAATCTTAAAATCTACTTGCTTACTGCAAAAACCTTGACTTTAAATCATCTTTTATTTTGTTCAGTGCAACTCCTTTTATTCTTTAGCAAATTTGATACAATGCGCTTAGCATACCATGCATTCAGTATAGAGCAGTGAAGTTCTCCACCAACCAGTAGAGCACTAGCTCCTAATAGAACAATAGTAACAATGTGCCAATGCATTTTCTTTCAGTTTTCCATCACTTATTTCTTGTAATTTTCATTTTATCATTATTAATATCATGTTTGCTCTTACTATACATGTAATATCCTAGATTTTAATTCCCAAATTAAATTAATTAATTAAGGGTAATTAGGTAAAACTAAGTATAAGTTGGTTTAATATTGATTAATGATGGCTAATAGACCTATTAATTTTAGGAATAGTCTATAGATTGGATTCGGAAGTATATTGGGCTACTTGAGCCCAAATTAGAGGAAAAATTTAGATTAAGCACTCTTTGTGCCACCTACCATAGCAAAGACACCATGTGCCGTGCGGATGGCCAATTTTTATTTTTTTGAAAGAATTAGTTGTGACTTATAACTGCAAAAAAGGAAGGGAGAGAGAAGTGGAGAAGGGCAACAAGAAAATACATTGGTTTGCTAGGCAAATGTTTGGGAACATTCTTGAGAGGTTTAAGCTTCCACACTCTAAGGTAATCACTCCCCTTCACTCTCCTATGAAATTTTCAGCTTGGATTTTATTATGGGATGATAATTTTGGACCTTGAGGAAATAGATCTGAACCAATTGATCCTAATGGGACTAATGGAGGTTGTTTTAACATTTTAAATTTATTTTTAAAGATTTTATAAGGTTATGAATTTGGGTTTAAGGATGTTTTAGATAAACTCTAGCTACTTTAAGTAAGATTTTGAGTTGTAGGGTAATATATTAGTTGTTATTTAAGCTAATGAGAGCTAAATAAAGTTAATAAATTTATTGGATGTGAGTTGGACTTGTAGGAGGAGAGTTGGGTTGTTAAAGTGTGAATTTTAGAGTTTAAGTAGTGTCTATATTGATAATTAATGATGATAGTGATTATCTAATTACATATTAACATTGTGGCATATTGGTTAAGCTCATTACAAGCTCGAGAAGCAAGTTGTTAAGGATAACCTTTGAATTCTCAAAGGTTTAAGGTAACTAAGAGAATTTTATGTCTTGTTATTGCTTGTTAGATTAAATAAGGTGTTTTTGAATAATAAATAATAATAATAATAATAATAATAATAATAATAATAAGTTTTCTATTTAGATTAATTTATTTATTGTTTGATAAACTCTTACGGAAGTGTGGTTTATTTACATAAATGATAAAGGATTCAAGTTTGAAATGTTAATTATTTATTAAAAAGAAGGTTTTGAATATTATAATAGCAAAAGAGAACATGATGATTTATGTATGCTATGTGACTTAATATGCATGGTAATGAGTTGGGAATTTTGCATAATCATACATTAAATCAATAAGAGGTTGTCCTGGAAGGAGTAGTGCTTTCTTTTCCATGTGGAACATAACTAGCACTATGGGTGGCTCCAATGATTTGGTTTAGGAAATTAAGATTTTAATTTTAAGAAATAATTTTTTTTATAAACCTATATATATTACACGTGCACCTTCTTATAAAAAGAAGAGAATTTAAATAAAATTATTTATTTTAGAGTTTATAATTCTTGTGAGTCTTAATGCTTTATGGTGTTCAGTCAAAAAAAAAATGTTTTATGGTGGCATCCCGAGTGAGAAATAAACTTGATTAAGAGCTTGATCAATTTTTGTGATGTCTTCAAAGGTTTAAGTTTTTAGAAGCAGGTGCTCTAGGGAATATTCTCTTTAATAATTATCTCTTTATTTTTCATTTCTTTCAAGATTCTATCTCTAAATTAAAACGATTTTACTTTTGAGTCCCCTATTATCTTTTTCCTCCTATGATTTAAGATTGTAGGTGTGTTTTAATTTTAAACTATAGTCCTATATGTTATTAAACTCTAAGTTAGAGGTAAAACATAGCCTATCTAGGTTGGTTTAATTATTTTTATGGATCTTTTTAATACTCTTTGTTTTAGATTTGAATTTCATTATTATTTATTTATATTTATATTTGTCTTAAAATATATTCATTTTTCTCATGTTTCATGTGGATATTGTGGGTGACCATCAAAATTAATATTTGATCATATTAATAGGTAGGTGAAAAGTGATACTAGATCTATAAAAGATATAAATACAAATAACTAAAATAGAATAATTAAATTTAAAAATTTATAGTGACTTAAATTGTAAGTTCATAGTTTGAGTAAAATTTTGGATTGGAGGAGAATGAATGCAATCCCAATTAAATAGAGATTAATTCATCGAGAAGTAACTAGGAGATTAGGGATCCGTTTGGATTTCAGTTGGGTATAATAGATTATGAAAATAATTGATTAAGTGGTAGATTTTAATCATAATTGATTATGTTATAACGCAATCTGTTTGGATACTCATGTTAGTAATTTTTTTAAAGATTCAAATTTTATTAAGAAAAAAAAAGAAGAGAAAAAATTTTGTTTTAGTTTTATTAAATTTTATGCTTTTTTTGTGATTTTTTTCTTGGACTTTTTATGTAATTTGTTCATATAACTTTGTAACAAAAAAATGCAAAAGCGGAGAAGCTGAGATTTGGAGCGTTGGGAAAAAATCAATTTTTTGGGAAAAAATTAATTTTAAAAATAGTAAATGTTTGGATAAATTATGACTTAATCGATTTTTTTACCCCTAAAATTAATTAAATCCTCAATCCAAACGGACAGTATAATGAGTTTAAGAACATTTGACATCACCATTAGGAAGTTGACAAGTAGAGGATATAACGCAATTATAATTGAAAAGTAGTGATTAGATGGTGCGGCGGCACAGGGTAATGCCATCACCAATAGGAAGTTGACAAATCTCAATCCTAGAGTCAAGGGACAAGGCCTTGTTGAGCTCCAACACAAAGCCAAGACATTTCTTGATGTAATCCGGCTGAGGTACTTCTGGTGGATCTGCAACAGATCCATTCCATAGAGTGTTGTCGTAGCCGATCAGTCCCCCAACCTTGACCAGCTCAATCGCCCTCTTGTGGTAGGTCAAGTAATTTTCCTTATCCGCGTCCACAAATATGAAATCGAACGCTCCTTTATTATTTTCCTGCAAAATGATGGTCACACAAGAAATTTAAGCACGAGCAAAATCCTAAAACATCAAATTTCTGAATCTTTTTCATTTATATATATATATATATATATTTGTTTCAACACAACTATATCCAGTATAAGACTTTTTCTTGCACTAAACCAAGTCACCTCACACTTTAGATTCCAATAGTTTTTAATAATATGATGAGCAATTGATTTTTTTTTCAATCAAATGAGTAAGTGATATTATGATATATACATCTGTCAGCAACTGGTCAAGAACTGGGAGAGCAGGTCCTTCTCTGAAGTCAATCTTGTGAGCAACACCTGCTTTTTCAATCACAGGCAACCCAAACTCATAATCTGCGCGGTTCACGTCCAAAGCCAATATCTGAAAATCAGATATTAAATACACTAAGGTCATTGTCTTGTGGTAATAATTAAGGAAATTAAAAGAAAAGAGACAATCATCGTACGGAAACCTATATATATATATATATATATATTGTGGGACCTTTCCATCATCGGGAAGGGCAAGAGCGGTGGCGAGCAGAGAGTAACCAGTGAAGACACCTATTTCAATAGTGTTCTTCGCATTCATGAGTTTCAGCAACAAGTTCAGAAATTGACCTTCGTCAGCAGGCACAGAAAGCAAGCTCCTGTTTCGCAGTGTATTTTTTCCCCGGATATTATATATGCAGAGACAAAGCTAACTAGCACAGAATAATTCTGATAATTCTCGGAGGGAAAAAAATAAAAAAAAACTGATCTGATATACCAAGGGTGTTTTCCCGTTAAGTGTCGCAGCTCCTTTAAGCATTCATGCTCTTTTGGATAAACACTGGTTTCCAGTATATACTGCACAGACATGATGAATTATTGTTCATATATGAAATGAAACGCAAGGAATATCAATAACAATAATGTTCAAAGAGGGATATAATGAGTGTATTTCCGAGACTTGCCTGATAAAGAGCATCGCTTTGGAGGAGACTCTTGTGATTCACTTGTTTATGCGATCTCAAAGCTTGGGTTTTTGGCTCCTCTTCCTCAATGGAAGTCATTATTGATTCCTATCTTAGATATACAGATCCAGTCCCTACCCTTGGCAACTTCTCTCTATTATATATTGTTTCGTTCACTGAGTGGAGAAAGTCAATAAACGGTATTGTTTTTATCCACGAGTTTCATTTTCTACTCTCCCTTCCCTTTTCTTACATTGCTCTACGATAAAATTTTTGCTTAGAATTTCAAAGCAATATTTTTTTTTTACTTTCATTTAATCCAACAATTCAACTAGTTTATTTAATAAAGTTAAATACTTATACCTATTCCAACGCCATTAACTATAAATACCCGTGGTTTATTCTCTTAATGGTGAATAAACGAAATTTATGTGATCAAATAATTTCTTTTGTTAGATGCATTTTTAGATAAAATGCATTGGTTACTCTTAATTAATATTTTGCAAGATGACTTATAAAATGAAACGCAAAATTTTTCTATAAGATGGTTCATGAAAAGTTAATTGCAAGGTATGTAAAACCGGACCGGTCATTGAACCGGTTATGGCATTGGGTCACGAGTTAGTGGTTCAATTAGGGTTGAACCGGTGGCAAACCGGTCATGATTAAAATAATATAATTTAAATAAAAAGACATTAATTATAAAAATATTTAACTAAATTCAACCACTCAAAAGTCTAACAGTAATAAAATACAATATTTTAAATATCTATCATTATACTTACAACTTTTCAATCTTAAAAGTCTAGAGAAGAGATGAAAATAGAGTTGGAGAAGAGACGGAGATTGAGTTAGAAAAAAGACGAAGAGTTATAGACTAAGTTGGAGAAGAGATGAAGATAGTAAAGACAGAGATAGAGATGGAGAAGAGACGGAGATAGAGCTGGAGCCTGAAGAAGAGACGGAGATTAAGCTAGAGAAGAGACGCTGATTAGGTTAGGGTGAGAGAGGAGAGACACAGATGAAAGGCCGAACTAAATGCTGTCTGAAAATTTGAATTGAACTTAGCGTGCTCTATCTCTAATTTTTTATTTTTGACTTTAGTTTTACTTTTTTTTATTATTTTATTTCTAAATTCAGCACTCTGAAAAATAAAAAATGAAAAAAAATTCTCAAAAAAAATAACCGGGTTATACCGGGTTAAACCGGGTTAATCAGGTTACACTGGTTTATTTCGTCACCGATTTAGGAGTAAACCCAAACCAGACAAGGGACTGGGTCACCGGTTTTCGGGTTGACCCGGCCGGTCTGGTCCGGGTTTCAATACCATGGTTAATTGACAGGGAATTGCATATTATACTAAATTACATGCAATCATGTATATGATTTATCTCAATAAATTTTGTATATTGTGATCAACCATATTAATTAGTTTTGCAAAAAAAACTTTCTTGAATCAATTATTATCAAACAAGTTGATATTTTAAGTATTTATTTAATATTAAACATAATTATTAAAGAATGTCACGTTAATCTTGTGTGTATGTGTCCGCCAATAATTCGTCGGATTCTTCAACCATATTTCAACTTGTCCCGAGTTAATTACTTGGTAGAGAGCGAGAAGTTTGAATGGTAGCATAATTATTAAATCATGAATAAGAGGCTCAAATCTTCCCCAATGTCAGATTTAAATGCAAAATGCAAGTTACACCAAAAACAAAAAACAAAAAAAACAAAACAAAATGCATGTGCTAGCTACCCTTCTAATTATAAAATAGGTAGCTTTTGGTTGCTTTCAACAAATCATGCGGCGATATGGGGTAAATTAATTGGAATGGTAGCTAGCATCTGTGATTTATTTTGCATTTATATGGCAGCATGAATGCATTATTTTGCATTTATATGGTGACAATCAGTTTACTGTTGCTTATAAATATATATATATACGTGGCCAATTTTTGCTCATAGACCGTAGTTAGTACAAAGCCCGAGGGTACAACCCCCCGCAAGAAAAGGAGAAAATTAGATACAATGACCTTAAATATTATGCCCTATTTAAAAAATTACAATATATTGCCCCTCTTAGAGGAGCAAAAAAAAATCACGTGCTCCCTTAAAAAGTTTCACTTGTCAACTTCAAGAGTTATTTAACTCAAATCTTTTATATATATATATATATAATATTAAAATTTAATAGTTTGAGAATTAAAAATGTTAATTCAGATGAGTTGGACTTATTTGAGCCTGGCTCAATTCAGGTCAAGCTTAAAATATCTTATTTTTTAAAAAAGTTCATATAATTAAGTTTGATCTTAATTTTTTAGTCAGAGTCGGGTTGGCCTATTAGACTTGGCCAAAATTGTCAATACCACATACATATAAAGCTAAAATTTTCAACGATCGAGCTTATTCCAATTTAAGCCAAGCTTATTCGGATTGAGTTTAAAATATCCTACTTTTCTAAAAAAACTCATATAGCCACCAAGTATAACCCTAACTTTTTTTTGATAGGTTTGAATTTGGCCCAAATTATCAGCTCTATTGAGAATGGAGGATGTAATAATTTCATAAATAAATTCTTACAATGTTTCTATATTACATAAAAGAGATAAATAAATTCTATTTAATAAAAAAATTAATAATTATAAAAATTACAAGCCTTGTTATTTAGTATTTAATTTTAATAAATATTTACCTCTAATGTAATTTAATAAATTTTTAAAATTATATTTTTTAAAAAATAATTAATATTAAACTTGAGTAAAAATTTTATCCCTATCTAATTTTTCTAGATCCTGGTTAAGAGATTTTATTCCTGGCTTATGTTTGGTTAATTCACCTGCTATGCATGGGCTCAATAAGTAGTTGTGTAGCATACGTACTGGACTATCACATTGTTCTTTTTTTTTTTCACAAAAAAATGCTCATTTCATCAATCACCAAAAAAATTAGGAAAAATAGTAAAAAAATTTCACCAAAATATATAAATAACAATAAGATCTTACAAAGTTGACATCATCAGTAGAAATGACATACTACTTTAATTAAACAAAAAACAACTTCCATTAAATAATAACACCATGGAACCGTCAACTTGAATGGAGCCCTTCTTGTGATGGCCTCATTCAATATGCAAAATAATTGGATTAAGGCTATGCGGTGATATGGGGTAAATTAATTAGAATGGTAGCTAGCATCTGTGCATTATTTTGCATTTATATGGTGACAATCAGTTTCCTGTTCCTATCAGATATATATATATACGTGGCCAATTTTCGCTCATAGACCGTGGTTAATACATAGCCCGGTGGTGCAACCCCCACAAGACAAGAAGATTAAATATAATGACCCTGAATATTATGCCCTATTGAAAAAAATTGCAACATATTGCCCCTCTTTGAAAAGCAAAAAAAATCATGTGCTCCCTTAAAAAGTTTCACTTGTCAACTTCAAGAGTTATTTAACTCAAATCTTATATATATATATATATATATATATATAATATTAAAATTTAATAGTTTGAGAATTAGAGCCATTAATTCGGATGAACTAGAGTTATTTGAATTAGGTTTTAAGTATTCTACTCTTTTAAAAAGTTTATATATATATAGCCAAGCTTAGCTATAACTTTTTTGGTCAAGTTCAAGCTGGCCTATCGGGCTTGGCCAAAATGATCAATTTTACATATATATATATATATATATATAAAGTTAAAATTTCAACAGTCAAGCTAATTCTAATTTAGGCTGGATTTATTTGGATCGAGTTTAAAATATTCTACTTTTCTAAAAAAGACCATATAGCCAAACATAGCCTTAACTCTTTTCTTGTGGGTTCAAGTTTGACCCAAATTATTGGCTCTATTGGAAATGGAGGATGTAATAATTTCATAAATAAATTCTTCAATGTTTTTATATTGCACCAAAGAGATAAATAAATTCTGTTTAATAAAAAAATTAATAACTATAAAAATTACAAGCCTTGTTATTTAGTATTTTAATTTTAATAAATATTTACCTCTAATGTAATTTAATAAATTTTTAAAATTACATTTTTAAAAAATAATTAATATTTAACTTAAGTAAAATTTTTATCCCTATCTAATTTTTCTAGATCCAGGTTAAGAGATTTTATTTCCCGCTTGTGTTTGGTCAATTCACCTGCTATGCAAGGGCTCAGTGAGTAGTTGTGCAGTACATACTGCACGGTCACATTGTTCTTTTTTTTTTTTTTCACAAAAAAAAGATCATTTCATCAATCACCAAAAAATTTGGGAAAAATGGCAAAAAAATCTCACCAAAATATAGAAATGACAATGAGATCTTGCAAAGTTAACATCATCAGTAGAAATGATATACTATTTTAATTAAATAAATAACAACTTCCATTAAATAATAAAATGACGAAAAACTTTATACTATGTTTGGAAGTTTTTTTTTTTTTAAAGGGGAAATGGAATAGAATAGGATGGCTAAAAAGTCTAAGTCATTCTTTGTAAGTTTTTTTTTTTTTTTTAAGAAGGATGAAATAGCAAGGAAATGCCTCTAAAGCCTTCTTTTCTCATCCATAGCTCAATTTTTTCTCCTAAATTGGGGGGAGGGGGGTAAGGATGGAGTGATATGATATAATTAAACCTCCTATCTTAATAAAAAAAATCTATTATTTTCATTCTCCAATCATCTCTGGCCTCCCGCTAAGGTTACACATGGATAGGATCAAGTTAGGCATCACCCCTACTCAATGCCTAGCCTAATGTGCAGTTGGGCATTACGCTGGCCCGATTAACACGAAAATATTTTTACAAGTATTTTTTGAAAAATATATAAAAATTTCCTTGAAAAGATATTGTTATTATTATTTAAAATATATTCTTCATAACACTAATATTAGAATCAAATGTAATTTTTTAAAAGCTCACATGAACAATAATTGCTTATTATTTTTACATAATAATAAGTTAAAAAATTTTAATTTTGAAAGAGATTTAAAAAATTATAATGATAAAAGATTTCTAAAAAATCATAAAATAACATAATTCCTGATAACTTTCATCAACAAAAAATAATACTATAAGATAAATATTATTCACAAAAATTTTTAAAAACAAAAAAAAAATTGGCACATGTTCAAGTAGGCAAGGTTTGACCTTTGCCTGAAGCCTGAC